TCCTAGTCCCGCCAGAGCCAGGCACAGTGTGACGCGAACAGGCACGCACCTGACACTTGACGAGGATGTCGAAGAAGTCCTCGTCAGGCTCCTTGTCACTCGTCACCAGGTGGCCCAGGACAGACTGGTTGTTGGTGGGGGTCAGACGCAGCCCTGGCAAGTTACTGACACTGGCCCTCTGGTCGTCCAGGCGGCGGCTCTGCGAGCTGGCCAGGAGATCCAGGAACTCGTCCGTGTTGGGGGACACCACGGGGACAGATGGCGCTACGAACAGGAAACCGCCAAACATTAGGCATGTTACAGACACACTCCTTCCTGCTCGGCTGGTTCTGGTGGACGGGAGGGGATCCGGAGAAGCCCTAGCGTCCGTTTGGGTGCTGCCAGCGTTACTGCGTTTCCCTCTCGTGCAGAGCTCGATTTACAAGGTGAGGTTGTTTCTCTCCCATCACGTGTCTGACGGGTCAAGTGGGACCGTGTTCTTATTCCACCTGGATAGGAACCATCGAGCTAATAACTACACTTAGAGTGAAGTGCTGCGGGCAGGTGCCCTAGGGCGGCAGTCGGCAACCAGTGGTCCGTGAAGTCCGAAAGGTTGGCGACCGCTGCTCTAGGGCAGAGGAAGTCACCTGTTTCAGAAGTTTCTTTTCCTCCAGATGGGAAGCACCTGCGTATTACATACACTGTCCTTTTCTTCCCAACCCCAGAGGAAGTCACCTGTTTCAGAAGTTTCTTTTCATCCAGATGGGAAGCACCTGCGTATTACATACAACTGTCCTTTTCTTCCCAACCTCTAAGACAGTGGTTCTCAACCTTCCTAACGCCACGACCCTTTAATAGTTCCTCATGTTGTGACCCAACCACAAAATTCTTTGCTGCTACTTCATAACTATAATGTTGCTACTGTTATGAATCGTAATGTAAATATCTGATATGCAGGATGTATTTAGGCGACCCCTGTGAAAGGGTCGTTTGACCCCCAAAGAGGTCGAGACCCACAGGTTGAGAACCACTGCCCTAAGAGTAGGGAGGCAGATACACTCGGGAACTGACACCCGCCTTGTTCGACCTGCACAGATACCAGTATTTGGGCTCAGCTGCTGTACTTCCCATTAGAACCGAGTTCTCAGAAGTAACTAAGGGAGCTGTGAGGATTGGGGAGAAGCAGAGGTAACTCACTTTTTAGCTTCCCTCTCGGGGGCGTGGTCGGAGCTGTGCCGGAAGCTGGCCCGCTGGTCCGGTCTTGTAAGCAGCACCGCTGGTCGTCCATCCGGTTGCTCTGGAATCGGCTCAGGAGGTCAAAAAACCCCTCCTCTCCCATCGCGTCTGCACTGAGTTTCTGAGACAGAGAGGAAAGCTAAATATCCCAGGGCACCAATGGAACAAGGTGAGGATTAAAAATTGGCGTTTTCTTTGTAGAAGTAATACGTGATGGCAATGTTATTACTAAAAAGCATTTGTAGTCATTTAGTTTCTAATCTTTGTATTTCTAAGGCTAAAGCAAGGGACCTCAGACTCGGGGCACTGCTCCAGGTCCTGGATGAGTCAGGCAAGTTCAGGGCAGGCACCGCCTCAGGCGGTTTCCCTCTCCCTTAGGCACATCCGCGGTGCCAGCTCCTCTTGCGCTTTGGGGCCACTATACAACAGGGCCACGATGTAATGGGGCCACCAGAACACAGCACTGCGATGCCTCCACGGGTGATCTTAACCGGCTACGGAGCGACTGACAGGCAGGGAGCGTGAACACTGTGGGGACACTGGACAGAGATGGCTTACGTCCTGGGCCAGACAGACGGACAGCATGAGATCTCATCACCCCACTCAGAACATGAGTTATTTACTCTGGAATTTTCAATTGAAGTTTGGACAGCAAACGTGGCTAAGGGAGAACTGTACTCCGAACCTTATTTTAAACATACGTACCCTCTGGGGGTTTGGAACTCGGTGCTCAATGGGATTCCTGGCATCTTGGAGAACCTTAGTGGAGGTACTGGTTTTGTATTTTTTCCCCTTCAATCTGTTGACAAAGAGTAGCTTTGCAGAAGGTTTGGCAATGAGGGGTTTTTGTTTCGCAAGAATTTCACTATTCCAGTTCTGCACCTGCAGGATATAAACGCACATGGAAAGCAGAGCGTGAAGGAACCACCTGATTTCCTAGAATATTAACCGGCCATCCACTCACTCAGTATGGGGGGTGAGGCTTAGACCTTTTTGTTGTTTGGTTTGTAATCCTCACCTGAGGACATGCTTGTTAGAGAGGAAGGGAAGGAGAGAAGCATCGATTGGCTGCCTCCCGTATGAGCCCTGACCTGGAGCTCACCACCTTTGGTGCACGGGTGACACTCCAACCTGCTGAGACACCTGCTAGGGTGAGGCTTAGAGCTTTTAACAAATTTCTTCTTGCCAGGAGAGTTCATTATTTCAATAGCTTGTACCAAACACATACTGTAGATTTCTCATTATCAAAACAACACGGTGGCTTTTAAAAACCCAAGCATAAGAAATCCCATAAAAATAAACTTTGGTCAGAGAAAGAGCCAGGGTTTTATTCCAGTGTGAGTCACTTAAATATTACACCCAGAAATGTTGGATATATGTCAAAGTTTAACTGCAAAATTTAACATCTAAAACGTATACAGCAGCAGTTATTTTTTGTCAGTAGAGCTGTACTGTTTTCATAACCATTACTAAATTCTCAATAGGCAAAAGTCTAATCAAATTGATATGATCTGGTTTAAACATAGGTAACAACCTTTTTAAAAATGGTTGAATAGATTTTCCTATCAGAGGTGACATACAATATATTAGTTTCAGGTGTACAACACAGTGATTAGACACGTAAATAACTTACAAGTGATCCCCCCCCATTAAGTCTAGTTCCCACCTGGCACCATACATAGTTATTACATGACTATATGCCCTGTCACTATTTTGTAATTTCCAATTTCTAAATCCTTTTCACCCAGTCCACCAAACCCCCTCCCATCCAGCAACCCTCAGTCTGCTCTCTGTATCTGTGTGTGTTTTGCATTACCACCTTTGAACAACAGAGTCAGAATATTTTTTAATGCACAGGAGAAATATATACAAACATAACTCATGTTTTAACCTGAAACCAATAGAACTTCAACCAAAACACGAGATCTTACATGAGGGGAGAAGCACCACGAATATTTGTTGGAAGTCACAAATTTTAGTGAGTAGACAACTGTAAATATGGAGTCCATGAATAATGAGAATCAACTGTATGTAAAAAATTAACTATTTAAATAAAAGTTACTAAAATAGCTAGTGTAGCTCAGTGGTTGAGCATCGATCTATGAACCAGGTCAGTGTGATTCCCGGTCAGGGCACATGCCCAGGTTGTGGGCCGATCCCCTGTGTGGGATGTGCAGCAGGCGGCCAATCACTGATGCTCATCATTGATGTTTCTATCTCTCCCTTCCTCTCTGAAGTCAATAAAAACAAATTTTAAAAAATTACTAAAATATTTTTAATAACAGTTTAAGAAATTTAAAATATAAAAACTACCCACCTTGTCTGGTGTTAATTTCATAAGTTCCATGTTTTCCATACTGTGTCGGCGTCCAAACTTGGGGCGTGCACCTTTGTAAAAAAGCAATTTAAATAAACCAGGGAGACCTTAACACTACAAATTCAGCATCACTCTTGCATTTGTCATTGAATTTTAAAGTCTGTTACACAAACCCATATGGAAGTAGGAAATCTTACAACATGTTCTTTTAAGAATAATTTTCTTGACACCTGCACACTGAGAGAGGTCCAAGGAATTCCTTATAATACGCTTACATTTGTGAGACTCATCCAAGGTTGGTACACCTTCAACTTGAAGGGTCCCACGTTCGATTCCAGCCAAGTACACATGCCCAGGTTGCAGGCTTGATCCCAAGTAGGGGGTGTGCAGGAAGCAGCCAGTCAATGATTCTATTAATGTTTCTATCTCCCCCTTCCTCTCTGAAATCGATAAAAAATATTTTTTAAAAAACAGTTTTCTATAGAAATAGACTATGGCCTCGCTCTCAATAGACAATGGCCTTTCATCTCTTGATGTAAGAAAGTTACATTTTGCTTCGAAACTAACTTGGGTTACTAACACTGACCCTTAATTTAGAAAAAGCATTTATAATAATTGTCTTTGTATTATCTAACGTCTTAAAAATAAACCCAGACAAACTGGAGAGGGATTTAAGTAAAAACATAAGGAAAAGAAAGGCTTTAGGCCTTCAATTTTGGGGTAAGAATAAAAATAACAGCCAAGCACTACATAACTTCAGTTACCCATTTCATTAGATGACAGGTTTACTGCCTGTCAGAAAGTATGTTAAAAAGTTCAACATTTCTTCAACAAAATTATCATTAAACGTAAAAAACTTTCATTCCACCTCAATCTTTTAAAGAGAAGCAATATTTTAAAAGGCATAAATAAGGAAAACATGATACCTACCCAACTTAAAAAATAATACCAACACAACACATTAACTCCCCCAACAATGTCCCTCTCTTCCTATAATTTTTCATACTTTTACTAAAATATGTGTATAGCTAAGCAATAAAGCTTATTACATACATTGTATAAATGGTCTCATATTGTACATATCTTCTAACTCAGTGGTCGCCAACCTTTCAGACCTCACGGGCCACCGATTGGCGACCACTACTCTTACTTCCTTGGAGCACCCTTACAT